GAGACAAGCGGCCAACTGGCTTTACTAGGCCTTGGAGCACACATGTATTGGCCGCCTACGCTTTCTTCTGCATAAGACACGCATATCTGATCCACTACATCTAAGCCTATCAAGCTAGCGTAGTTCGAGCCTCGCCATACAATTAGGTGCTTGTAGAGTTCACATAAGTCGCGGTGTTAGCTCTGGCATAGCTGTACTTGAGAGCTGACCAGGAGTAGGATGGTCCATACATGCGCGAGAGATTTCAGCAAAGTCCACCCGGGAGCAAAGGGAAGGTAGAGTGGGGAAGTGTGTTAGGGAGTGTGCGTCGAGGGTGTGTTTTTGGCTGAGACCTGTGTACGTCTATAGAGGCGTTAGAAGAAGTATTCTCATTGACTTGCCACAATGTTATGGCTAGGAGTCCATTAGCGATTGTGAGAACATCTTACAGATCGAGGATAAGAGAACGAATAGATGACCGTATCCGTGCCACTCTGACTCATGTAGAGCAATGATCAAGTCATGAGAAATCATCTATCTCCGTGTATGTAAACTACTCTAACCTGCAAACTACACAATCTATATCAAAATCACACACACCATCTTAATATTTCCATCTAATTACAGCACCTTCAATATACACACATTTTTATCATACTGAAGCGGAAAATATATTCGCCTCATGAGCACCCATATATAGACACACACCTATCCCCCCCTTAATTTTCATTAATAATTTTAGAGTAAAGCCATTTAACAACATTAACATATATCTTTTAATACATTAATACCGACCCCCCCACTCCCCCCCCCCCCCCCCCCCCCCCCCCAATTCCGCTAATATTTCAATCCCCCATCACCCCCTAGCCCTAATACCCTTAACCACGTCCATATTTTTAAACCCTCATATGAGATAGAGAAGTGCAATCTCTCTCCTCCTGGTAGCCGGTGGTTGAGAATTCCGAGCGCTAGAGAGCTGATCAGATCTACACGTACATATGATGCTAACTACTAGTGAGTATCTAGTATATTCTCCCACTCTCCAATCACACCCCAAACCCCCCCCCCCCCCACCCCCCCCCACCACCCCCCCCCCCCCCCCCCACGCCTGATCTCTATCTTAACGAGTCTATGTGGAGTCCATTATAATGTCTGCATGGATTGCTCATTGAGTGCCGGGAATTTCTCGTCCGTGTTGGGAACACTCAGGTCAGTCCTGGTAAATGAAGGGCACGTAATTGCATCGCGCTATCACGCCACATATCTAGCTTCCACACGAGGTGTTTTCGCGCAATCACAGTCCTAGCTAGTTGCGCGTGAGAGACTATTACTGATTAGATAGGCTTGTATTCGCCACTCACGTATTCTCTCTTTATCCGCTATGCTGACATGTCACGTCATTATATGTACGGAGAATCACTCCCGCTGTTACCACCCCACCCCCATGACACATGGACGACTAGCAGTCTACTATTGAGATGTTATCGCCGTGCGGCTCTACTTAGAGACTACGTCTCGCACATTCGAAGCGCACCATTGCGACCGTCATAGCTAACTCCTAGTTACGCGCCATTAGGCTAGTGCGCTTACCCTAGCATGACTCTCCAGTAACTTATGCGCTCATCTGTGGTCTCCTAGCCTTACTAGGCCCCCCCCCCATCACCTAGGAGACTTATCGTTCATACGTCACTTGAATGTGAGGGTTCTGTTATATACAGCGCAACGTAGACATAGACTACAGCGCATCGCAACGTCAACTGTACGGCCGCTGCATACCATTGATGGCTAGCTCGGTACTGAGATACTGTTGGAACGGCCTCGCTATGTTACCCTGAAAGATACTGTATACTAGAGCAATAGTCTGCGCGGACACGATGTGCCGCTTGATCTCGTCTACCTCCTGTTTGCCCTCTCTCCGCCCTCCCCCTCCCGCCCCCCCCCTCCCGCCCCCCTACCCCACCCCCCCGGAACTTAGGTTTATCGTCTGTTACTGTCCACTCTATATATGCACTCTTGGCCTCGGTAGCGACATGATCACCACACTCGCTTTATTCAGGCTACCTGGTTACAAGTCCTACACCATAGTTGTTCCATCGAGTCTTTTAAACAATCAACGCTTGCAGCAATGATTGCAACGTCAGACCAGGAGCTTACAGCGCGACTATCTCCGTCGATACGAGACGGCACAGCAGCGTTAGTTGTGGTGGCTGAGGCCTCCAGTAGCAGGTGGGAGTGATTGCCCATAAGTATTCTTGCCTGCCCTAGAGACCTGACACATACGTTGCTACAGCTAGGTGTGTCTTATACTGGCGTGCTGACCTCACATGGAATCTCCGGGAGAGTGAGCATGCACTGGATATGCAGCTTAGTTAATTCGACGCTCTCAGCTGAGTTGTGACTGCGACAGCGCATGATCGCGCTACTATTACAGGTCAGCTTATCAAGTATCAAGAGGCGAGATCCGAGCTATCTCTCTGCGCTCCTTAAGCGATATCGCTAATCTGAGCCTATTCGTGGAACGTCGTCCTCCGACTCTACTCTTTTCACAGTACTACGTGTCCAGATACCAGCAACTATGCTTAGGTGCGTACGTTGTATACCTGCTGTGATTGTGTCCCGTCGATCGCACGTCAGAGTCTCAGATTGAACTAAGTGACCTCATGCAAGCGTGCTAACCCTAGCACAGCTCAAACGCCTATCCATCTTTCGCTCACCGCCCCCGATCCGATACTGTACACTTCAATCGACTTAGGAGCTCTAGCCACTTACGACCATGTAAGCGCTCTCCTCGTCACAGAGGTTTGTAAGCAACTACGGGATCCACGCAACTCGTTGTGACTGCATGTTCACTCGTCCCTTATTGCTCCGTCTCACGCTGAGTGTAGCCCTCAAAAGTATACTAACCCCGTGGACCGCTCTATCGGCGTCTTCAAGGGCGATCTCCAGATTATGGAACTGTTCGCTACCCTAATCCTGTTTATGTAACCACAAATCTACGTCCATGTCCATATCTCTTTCTAATCCTCAGTCAAACTACACCTGCCTTACGATGTGAGGCCTCTATCCCCACGTTTTAAGGCCCGATAGTCACGCATCGCTACCACGCCACCTGAAATGCCGGTCGAATCTTTGTGTCTCTCCCACTAGCATAATACACACACTAACTTAGTTTGGCTCCAGCCTTGGAGTCCGCTCCTCGAACATGTATATTATGTAACCCACCCTTATCCTTTCATAATAACGCTTTGAACTTAATACCCCTTTCACATTCCTAAGCACTAGCGTGCTATAGCTCCTTATGACACCGTATTGCTGTGCACTAATTGTCACTGTTACAGACTAGGGGATAGTGATTTCCCCCTTTCTTATCCAGTCCTTCTGTGAGCACATGAGCCTCACCTTTCGCTAACGCACTTTGTCACGTATAGTTTCGTATGTACAACTGCAAGTATCAGGCTACGATTACCGCAGATGTTATATCGTCATTCGGGCCAAGCCTCGAGTTATAGTTTCTTTGAATAGATAATGGGGGTTGGATGTGGGATGTAGGTTAGAGGAGACCTAGAATAACACACTATCTGTAATCAGAACAGTCTGGTATTCTCTGTTATCCTGTCTGTATCTCTCTATATAGATTAGTTGGCGGACGCCACGCCGTAAGCCGTTGTCCCCCCCACACCCCCCCTAACCCCCCCCCCCCCCCCCCCCCCTCCCCACCCCCCACCCCCCCCCCCCTTTTTCTATTTCTCGCCCTATGACTTCTCAGTTAGCCCGCTCCACTATATGATTAACCTACCTAACATTTCTGTAATGTCTGCTTGTCCCCTCCCTTCCTACCCCCCCCCCCCCCCCCCCCCCCCCCCTCCCCACATATATCCACCCATCTCCAGTCCCCACCCCCCCCCCACCACTACTACCATAGATGGCAGTTACATGCTGTAAGCTCCCCCCCCCCCCCACCCCACACTCCCAATCCCCCATCCTATCCCTTCGTTCTATCCTTCTTTTACCCCCCCCCCCCCCCCCCCCCCTATCCCGCTCGGCACCTGCCTCACCATTCATCACGCGTGTCATGCAGCGGGACAATGCTATATGCACTCTTACACATGCTGTGGTTTCTTCGACCACGATCTATATGATGTCTGATATTGGTCACGAGCATTGCAGCGTATATCATCCATTATATAAGTACGGAACCAAAATATTTGGTATATCAGCACTGCAGGATGTATTTAAACTGGATATGATCTAGTTTCAGACATGATGATTTAAAAGATCTTCAAAACTGCTGAAACGTAAGTCGTTGTATTGTAGTCACATACCATAAACACTTATATCATGGAATGATAAGTCGATCGCCTGCTGCAGTGACGCTCCTCTCCGCAAGTCAAGCCAATGCTCGACCGCTCGTGAATGCATACTTATAGCCGATTACCTATTAAGATTTGTAACGACGGCTCCAGTGAGTATGAATAAGTACTACTCTGTACTAGTGATCAAGCGCATTAGGTCGTCTGATGCGACGTTGATCGCTTATCGTGCAGTGTTTCCGTTCAAGCAAAACATGTATGAGTCATAGCTGCTAGGTGTAGCCTGAGATACTCGAATACTTCCCACGTGCATGTAGCTCAGTAAGATCATTCTAGTTCTGCACTCGAGTAACAATTACCCAGATAGGATAGGCCGCATAGATATTCAGGTGACATTCTACGTATCGTGGAGATGTGGTTCGGCCTCATGTTTACAGCACATCTGCGCCTGATTCGTGCAGCGCGATGCTAGTGCTCAGGCGCTTTATTCGTCACAGGGTACGAGATCTCACAACTAAGCAGTTGCTGCAATCGTCATCCACTGAGTTCCATTGCTAGACAAATCTTGTTCGCGCTGTCTGTATCACTGAACTCTCTCTTTGCCTCTCAACCGCATCGGATACGTATCCGCGTATGGATCAATCAACGAGAGCAATGCCACTGAGTTGTGTCTATTCTTAGTTGATTAGATAGTCCGGCATGAGCTGTCAGAAGAATCATCCTAGGATATTCTGCAACTACTGTGAGTTTTGTCATCAAGGGCATGAGATAGACTATCCGACGTGTATGTTTGCTTTATTTCTGCTAGCACTCTCTGTGTTTCTCACAAGATCATAGAGAATAGCAGCAAAAAAGCAGAGGAAATTGCTGTTTTGGTATTGTGAGAAGCGGAGAACCACGTAATTCAGTTTGCTGACTACCGTGGCCAGGCATTAAACTGTGCTGTTGTTATGGCAGACTACCAAGCAGGTGTGCAGAGACGCCTGCGAAATCAATCCAAAGCTAAATTTTTGTCATATACAAACTATTCCCTGAATCTGGATTGTGTTCATGAAGCTTCTTCACGGTTCAATCAGTTAGTTTGGACAGGATAGACCGGCTAATATCATAATTTTTACTTCTAAATATTACCGGAATGTTGTCATTCAAATCACCGGTAGAAGTATCAAATGGCTGTAAAATGTAGTTGGAGTAGTCGAGCAAGCACTGCAAACGGTGCGGTGAATACATAATTGGGACTCGTCACTTGTCCGCACCATTTCACAGATTACTAAGAAAATGTAACCAGAAGATCAGATACATCTTCAAATCTCACCTCGGTATTGTCGTTACCGTTTATTTCGTCTCTGAGCCTTTGAAGATCTGTTCTTATATAAATCAAGGATGAATAGAAACCTTTAAACAAAAGAGGCTGAACCTGCGGCAAAGTTCTGTCAAGTTTACAATGTAACACTATTCCTTCTTCAGAACAGAGAGAAATTGGTTGTCTTTGCAATGGATGTATCGAAGAAACACTATGCTGAGTTGGGGGTAAGCATGGACTGTCGAATACGTCAAAAGAAAATAACAGACGGAGAATTGTTAGATGTTTCCATGATATACCGAAGAGTTAAAACAAGAAATAGTCTCTCATGGACAGTTTGACCGAGAAAATGCTATAGAGTTCAGCAAATTCATGATCTTGAAAACAAATATGCTTCTCCTACACCGTTAAATCTGCTTAATAATAACTATGGTTGCTCACTCAAGGAACCTGAGGAGGATATAGGAAAACAGGAATTCCTTATCCAAAGAAGATTGCAGTATTTTGTGAAAGCTTCATGTGAAAGCTTGATGAATCTACTGAACTTTGAAATTCAAACAAAATTATCACTTTTGGAATCTGCTGCGCATTTTTCTTGCTCGAACTCTTGGCACAGTCAGCCGTATTGGCAGTTCTCCCCATAAAGAGGGATTTCGATAATGGACTGAGTTTTGTTAGTGTTATCAATACGAAAAGTAGCTGTTAATTTTGCTCACTAGTATTGTAACAACACCAATACTTACATTTACGAAAGTACTGTAACTTTGATCCCTGATGTTATATGATTCCAAATATATAAGGTCTGTTCGCAAGTGTATGTATTGTAAGAACACGGGCACGCAAAAGACACGGCTGTAAGGTGAACATACGACCAAGTCACTGGTTCGCTTGATAACATGGACATTCATTCACACACGAGTCAAGCGCATGGACAGGCAGACGGTGACTTGTGATAACCAACCACAACAGTCCTCCACCGCTAAAATAAGAGTATCCATCTTGATAGTGTTCTGCGCTTCGCTTCTCACGAAGTGATCGACATGAATGTATAGGTTGCTCAGCGTGGTCTTCGTTTGGCAATGCTTCTGGCGCTATTCTCAGGGGTGCAGGCGATGGGCAATTTGCTTGTTCCTCTGCAGGACGCACAGGCTGTCGTCGTACTTGGTCCAAGTGACGTTGAAGTATTCACCCATCTTCCAATTCCAATTCCACTGCACTACCTCTTGTCGATCTCGTAATCCCACGGATCCAAGTTCTATCTGTTGGCTTCAGGTTGACATACACTCTGTCGCCTGCCTCAACCACACGATCCCTCGTTTACATGTCGTAGCGTTGCTTCATCACAGACTGGCATTTAACGACCGTACAATGCAGATTGGGTTTACTCAGATTCAACCGAGTGCGCAGACGTCGTCCCATCAGAAGTTCACATAGTAGATGATCCGTGGTAGTGTGTGGCGCAATGCGATACTGCAAAAGGAATTTGTTCAGGAGGGTTTGTAAAGTACTGGACTACTGTTTGACCACACCTGATTTGGTTGTCGCCATCGCTCTCTGCCAGATTATTGGATGAAGGATTATATGGTGCCGAGAGAACATGCTCGATGACATTTTGACGTAGAAATCGTATGAACTAATCGCTGGTAAATGTCGGGCCGTTCTCTGAAACAACCGTACATGATACATTACGTGTAGCGATTAGATTTTTTAAGATGTGCGCAGTGGTCAACCCAGCCATGGATGTGGTTTCCCGAGCTTCGATCCGTTTGGAGTGTGTGTTCACTACAACCAGAATCATGAAGCCGTCGAGGGGTCCACAGAAATCAAGGTGTATTCTGTCCCACGGGCGCGAGATCTATTGCCATAGAGACATTGGCACGGGCTGTGAAGACGATTTATTTTCTTGACAGGTAGCCCACAATTGTACGATTTGTTCCGTCTCATGATCGACTTCCGGCCACCAGAGGTAGTTAAGTGCTAGAACCTTCATGTTTGAATTTCCTTAGTGATCCATATGAAATTCCCGCAGGATTGTTTGACGATACCATTTGGGGACGATAACTCGAGAGTCCCAGATTATGCAACCGTCCTCTAAGGTTAATACATCTCTTCGAGTGTGAAATGCTCTCAGACCTTCATCTACCTTGTCCGACTAACCAGTTAGGATATAATCACACAATTTTGACAGTTCCACGTCATTCCTTATTTCCGATTTTATTTACTTTGATGTCACCGGCGAATCATCCAACCAAGTTATTACTTGTACTAATCCTCTCATAGCTAGCGTGTGGCTGGGAACCCACTGTAATGGAAGTCGGCTAAGAGCATCGACACAATGATTCTCCTTCCCGCAAAAATATTTCAAGTTATGTTGATGGTTAGCGGATAGACTAGCTCAGTGAAGCATCCGGGGCGATGACATTCGGGTTTTCGCTTTTGATTCACCCAGAATTCCCAGTAATGGCTTGTGGTCAGTGTGCATTTCGAATTTCTGACCGAATAGGTATTGATGAAATCGCACAGCCCCAAAAACGACCGCTAAAGCCTTCTCTTCAATTTAGGCGTAATTTCGTTTGGTCTGCGATAGGGTCCGAGAGGAAAATGCAACTGGTTTGTTCATTCCGTTCGCGTCAGGTTGTAACAAGGTGGCTCCGACTCCGCACGGTGATGCGTCACATGTCAGTGTCAAGTATTTTTTGGGGTCAACGTGGGCCAAAACCGGTGGACTGGTCAATGCAATTTTAGCTTGAGAAAAAGCCAATTCCTCCGTCTCAAATCACATTCACTGAGTGCACTTCCGTAACAAACCATGCAACGGGTGTAACATAGGGACTAATTGTTGAAGAAACCTTAAGTAGTGATTGTACATTCAAAAGAAAAACCTAAACTCGTGTTGATTTCTTTGTGGTGCTTTAAGGATAGGCCGGATTTTCTCCTAATCGTTTTCAGCCCCTCAGCAATTATACGGAAGCCCAAATAATAAAAGTGGTGAGCAAAGAATACTCATTTTTCATGCTTCAGCTTCAAACCAGTCCCCTTCAGGCGGTCCACAACAACTCGCAGAGTTTGTAGATGTTCGTCAATTTTTGCCACCATAAACCTGCTGTGATGCTCGCTATTGTTCACTAGAAAACGGCCGGGGCCGTATGCATGCCAAAATTGTACTCTGTCGTAGCTGAACAAAGCGCAATGGGTACTGATACTCGTTATGGTTTTGGCGTCTTCATGTAGTTCGAACTGTTGATAAGCGTGCGAGAGAACCAACGTTTAGAAATATCTGTTGGTACCGAGCTGAGCATAAACGTCCTCAATTTTCCGGATCGGGTATTTTTTTGCCGGAATACTGCAATTGACAGTAATTTTAAAGTCCCCACATATACGAATCGATCCATCAGGCTTGAGTACTGAAACAATTGGTGTAGCCCAATCCGAAAACTGTACTGGCTCTATGACGCCGCTTT